AGGTAGGGCAATAGCTTTTACACACTGCAGAAACAAAAGGAATTCCAGAAAGTTTTAGCTTCTCAAAACTCTGCTTCTACTATCTTCTTTAGCCAACCGGTGTTCATACTTTGCTTTGTTTGTCGGGTTCTTTGTTTAGGTGCTTAAACAAAAAATCGTAGAACGTTTTATCCTGGGAAACCTAGGCTACAACGCTCCTAGCACTTGTGGGAGGTAGCAAATAAGGTTTTAAGGAAAAGAACAATCTGTTCAAACTCGTGCTAACCTCTACCCAAATTGTTCCACCTTTTCCTTCCCAGTTTTTCTGTTTTTCCTATAGAATAATAATTTTTCTGTAGGATTATTATTTTTGGTTTTTTCCACCTTATTACCCAACAAGAAGCACTTTATATTGTTTTAATTGCACTATAAAATTCGAGTTATTTACAAATGTCACCACATTTTTTTTCTAATTGTTTAAAATTCATTAAATCTATCCAAATGGACAATTCTGATTGGTTCTTAATTCTCGAAAAGGTTTAAGTGAGAACATATGAGTAGATCAATAGTTGATGGTTAAAAAATATATTAAAATTTCTTCAAAGATAAGAGTTCGTCCGATTTTTATTTTTTGCACTGTATAAAAATCAATACGATGGTGAAATTTGAACTTAATTTTCTTCTATTGACAAAATTGGAATGGAGGGGAGATTGGGGTTGGAGTGGATTGAAGTGTTAAAAAGAAATCGTCTCCAAACTTTAAGGAAAGAGATGGCTATATATATATATATTGAATTCTAAAATTCAATTATCTTGCAGAGTTCTTGCATGGTTTCCCATAACTGGGAAAAAAACACCTAATAACAGTATTTATATAATACAAGCATGATATCAAAATGCTAAAGAAAATGACATTTTACAGTGTTCAATTTCAACATCACTGCTCAGAGTTTGATCACATGGACTAATAATCATTTATGGAATTTTATCCAAACAAAATTGACGCAAAAATGTCTCAAAATAATTGCCATCATCGCCCAACCATTATAACTCTTTGATTTTCGAAAAAAGTCTTACGGTTGTTATACTCTGGACCATGGTCCGAAAACGGCGTCATTTCTTTATGTAAAGAAACGACAATCGTTACATTTTAGTAAATCCCGTATTTTTATATGTTCAGAAACTACATTGTATCTAAAATGAAACTGTCTCGCATATTGTGCTTATATTATCAAATTAAACTATAATTGAATTGAAATGATATGTTGGTCCCGATAGAATGAAATGAGAGTCTAGAGAGGGGGGGGGGGGGGGGGGGGGGGTGAATAGACTCTTTTCGTGAAAAGCCCTAATCGTCACCTTTCGGTGTCTTGGCGCAGCGGATAAGAAAGATTCGTTTTAATACTTTGCACGAGTTTGCTTAATTAGACAAACTTTCGGTAACGATGATTAATGGAATGATGTGAATGCAGAAAAGAAAAGCGTAAGTAAAGAGATAGAAGGGACACGAGATTTTATAGTGGTTCGGCCAATGTTGCCTACTCCACTCTTCTTCCACAACTGTTGGAAGGATTGCACTATCACTCTTAGTATAATTACACAAAGACTTCCTTGATCACTAAGCCGTACAGCCTTCGTAGGTTTTTCAACTCCTCGAGTTTACTCCGCCTCTATCAACTTCTTCTCCTGAGTTGAGGTTGGTAGAAAATGATTTCTTGAATTCTCCAACTATGAGGTCTTGACTCTGAGATATGATTGCTTCAAACAGATGGCAAGACTTCCTTTGAGGTGTAAGAAAATGATCAATAGTCTTCTTCAAGTAACTTAGCACCTCAAAACTGGTTCACAAAAGCTTTTTGTAAATTGTAGGCGTTTCAAGTGCTTTTGTAAGTGAGTAAGTCGAGTGAGAATGAACCAGCACCTTCTTAGTTGATGAAGGTGGGTTTATATAGGTGATGAAAATTCATCCGTTGGAGGGAGATGAAATTTTCGAACCTTTTAACCATTGGACAAGGACCGGGGAGCTTCATGCATTAAATGCTCCATTAATGAGGTTGTACCATGTAGCCGTTGGAGGTATGGAAAGCATTAGATTTTGTCCTATAGCTTCAGAGGATGGTACATCTTCATTTAATGCTTCTTGAAAAGAGTGTCCCTTAAGGTGAAGTCCTTATTGTCCTAGGATGTTGTCAAAACGGATAGCTAGAACATTCTTCTCGTTGTTGAAGAGAAGTAATGTTTGATACAGATCGTCTTCATAAAGAACTGTCTTTTCGTGTTTGTTGACAACTCCTTCTTGACTCTCGTTGATGTTCTTCATGTCTCGTGTCTTCTTTCGCCTTGGGGACCCTAACATCTAATCATAACTCATTTTCGTGTGTTTGTCTAGCTTAACACGAATTACATAGGAGTTATGGCAACTCTCGTCTAGGATGAAAGCAGCGATTAAAAAAGCTAAAGGTTAGGGGTCTATTTTTCTACATTACATTGGTATCATCAAAATCCTAATACAATGTTCCTAACATGATACTTTAGTTATGTTGAAATGAAACTGCAGTGTGTATAAAATAAAATTGAATAACATGTCTCACATATTGAGTGAATATTGTCAAATAGAATTGTAGTTGAATAAAATGATACTTTAGTTTTGCTGAAATGAAACTACAGTATGTATAAAAAGAAACTGAATAACATGTCTCACTTATTAGTTAGTGTATATTGTCAAATGAAACTGTAGTTGTGTTGTAATAAAACTACAGTGTATATAAAATAAAACTGAATAACAGTTTCACATATTTGAGAGTATATTATCCAATGAAATCGTAGTTGAATAATTATAATTTAATGGTGTTATGATAAGACTATAGTGTGTATAAAACGAAATTCAATAACATGTTTCACTGTAATAAGACTATTGTATGTATAATGTCGAATAAAACTGTAGTTGAAACAAAATAGAACTGTAGTTATGTTGAAATGAAACTACAGTGTATATAAAATGAAACTGAACATGTTATACAAGTAGAGCTAATTACGCGAAACGGGTGCCGTTTCTTTTCATTAAAAGAAACACCACCGTTTTGGACTATGGTCCACAGTAAAATTTGTCCACTACTTAATAGTGCTTTGAGTGAAACTAGCCTTATAACTCTAACTTGTAAAGAACCACAAAGAGATAAACTAGTCTTGGTTGTTCATAGCTAACAGACGGGTGATGAATGTCTAAAACTAATGTTTTTTCCTTGCACACACTACAAGAAAAATGCACATAGACAACAGTTATTAACCGTTGTCGTAGGGGTATACTTTCTGTTGTTGAAGCCGGTGTTGTTGTAGGTCATGCGCATAGACAACGGTTTTTTAACCGTTGTCTTTTCTACCAACGACAACGGTTTTTTAACCGTTGTCTATTAAGTGTTGTTGAAGCCGGTGTTGTTGTAGGTCCTGCGCATAGACAACGGTTATTAACCGTTGTCTTTTCTACCAACGACAACGGTTTTTTAACCGTTGTCTATTTAGTGTTGTTGAACCGTTGTTGTTAAAAGTCACGCAATAGACAACGGTTATTAACCGTTGTGTTTTCTACCAACGACAACGGTTTTTTAACCGTTGTCTATTAAGTGTTGTTGAAACCGGTGTTGTTAAAAGTCACGCAATAGACAACGGTTATTAACCGTTGTCTTTTCTACCAACGACAACGGTTTTTTAACTGTTGTCTATTAAGTGTTGTTGAAACCGGTGTTGTTAAAAGTCACGCAATAGACAACGGTTTTTTAACCGTTGTCTATTAAGCGTTGTTGAAACCAGTGTTGTTAAAAGTCACGTACATAGACAACGGTTTTTAACTGTTGTCTTTTCTTTAAAAGACAACAGTTATAAACCGTTGTCTATTGGGTGTTGTTGAAACACCCATAAACTGTTGTCTTTTGTAGAAAAGTCAACGGTTTCTAACTGTTGCCTATTGTAAAATATACAACGGTTTTTAACCATTTTCACCTGCTTAAATTATAATCGTATAAAAAAAACAATTTATCCATTCACCATATGTTGCAAAGTGTAGTTACATAATTGTGCACAAGCTAATAAGGTTCAAAATAACAAGTCAAAAGACAACACATGACCAATTCTAATTATCATCCAAGTCATAATACTACTACAACAATTCCCCGAACCAATTCAAGTCCAGATGATCACAACGTTCGAATGACCAAATCATACCTACTCTATATGCCTTGATAGAATATCGGCCCATTCAGATCGCACCAGATCAATAACCTCTTTGTCATAATCAACTTGTTGAAACTACATGTAAAAAGTAAGAAAATAAATTAGTGTAGATATAAATAATTTGCAATGAAATGAAAACATTTAAATGGTAGATAAATTTTAAATGACTTTCACAATTTTACATAATGTTTAACAAACCTTTATAAATTTTAATCTGACATTTAGAGACATGTTTTAATGTTCAACTATTACAAATATCATTATCCCACAACCATTTTACCATTTTATTTATAAAAATTCTAATCAAATTCTTTTTAAAACTTTTAAAATGGTTAAAAGTTTATAAAAATCCGGATTGAGTTCACCCCTCTTTGATTGAGTACTATGAGTAGGACTATGAATCCCAACAAGGGACAAACAACAAAATAATCCAAATTTGTTGGGATCCTCAACGTATTCGTCATAAGCAGCATTTACCATATCTATAGGGTTTTCATAAAAAAGCATCTGCTCCTCTCCCCTAATTTGACCTCCCTCATTTATTCAGTTGTTAAACGTGGCCTTCTCCCCGTGCCATATCCATGACACATACGTTAATTCCATTGTGCAGTTGAACTAGGAATAAAAAGATGCTGAAGTACCATCAATCTCCATTCTCATTCTGGAAGAGTTAGTTCTGTGTTACCATTTTTTTTTCACAATTCTAAAAGCTTAAACTTGAAGCTAAAAGCTTCTTAACAAGGAAAATTTCGCATTTCATAAAACAAAAGAAAAGCAAAACCATAAAAAAAAATTAATCACAAAGAAGCTCAAGTAATTTAGAATTTCACTAAGACCAGTAACAATCTTCTTATTTCTTAAGTGCTCAGGATCTTCTGGGAGTTAAAAAGCCCAGGCAGACGAGTTTGTAAATTTGCACGACTCTTAAAGCATTGATGAACTAAACATAAAGCTAAAAACACATTAACAAGAACAGATCAACATTTCATAGAACAAAAGAAGGCCATGACTGTAAAAATAATTAACCAGAAAGAAGCTTACCTATACTTTTGAGATTCTTTTCACGTTTTGCCATACTGTTTAGGTTCTTGTCCTATTAAGTAATGATAAATTGGTGAAATGTTATCAAACATGGATAGAATTTAATAAATTTTTAAAACAATCATCATAATAATTAAAGAAAGAATTCTAGGCCCCCTTTAGAATTTCACCATACCTTTATAATTGGCTCACCAACCTCACCATAACGAAGAAGGCGTTGCTCATGCCACCCTTGCATAGCACGGGCAGCAGCATCTCTTCGTGTTCTGCCTGATCCAGAAGCTTGATGGCCATTTCCTTGAATATTTGCTAAAGAAGGTAAATTTGCAGATCAATTGTTTAGAAGGTTTATGCAGATAAAGGGTGGGGGCATAAAAGAACTTATTTCAAGCAAAATTATTAAAATGTCAACAAAGTGAAGCTGGTCATTACTAAAGGCATAAATAAATAATACAGTGCATACATTCTCATTCACTCATTCCAAAGTTTAATGGATTATTTTTCTCATCTAAATTAATTTTTGCAATATATCTCTCGTTTCCAACATCCATAAACAAGTTTATAGTGGTGAAACGCAGTAATTTTTTGCTCTTATTGAACATCTCAAAGTAGAGAAGTTTTCCTCATGATACAGGGGGAAAACTCAAATTAGTGAAAAAACTTTGAACATAGCATATCCATAGCTCTCTCTAGCCAACAATTGATGAAATTGTCCAAATACAGTGCTAACAAATGTCACTTCAACCATATGTTGTGGTGGACCAAGTTTGTTTGCCCACAAACGTTGTGTGTTCTTCAATAACAGTAACACAACACAATAGAATTTGTAAATCACTTCAACCACTTGCCTTGCATTTTGGTTTAATCTTAGTTGGTCTTCCACTCTTCCTATTAAATATTAATGGCTAGCTTGTGTTTCCATTTAATTTTGTGGGGTCACCTGCCGCATATAAACTATTAGTATTATGTTATGTTTCTAAGACTTCAAGTCTTTTAACATTCTGCTTATAATCCCTAATCCTAAAAATCCTCCCTAATCTGTGAACATTCTGCTTATGATTCTAAGCCCTGAATTAATTTCACTCTGCCTAAACCCTAAAAATCTTCCCCATTCACAAACCCTAAAAATTCAAACCCCAATTCCCCAACCCTTCAATCCAAAAGTGTTTAGCATAAACACACACATTGATACAATTAGATAATATTTGGATGAATTTGACAGCTTATTACATTACAAGAGAAAAGCCAACCTGAAATTTTATATTTGGATGAATTTGACGACGGCGGTTGGAAGCAGCGACGTACGGTACTACCGGCGGCGGTCGGAGGCGGAGATGTACGACACTGTCGGCGATGGAGGCGGCGACGTACGTTACTCTCGGCGATAGAGGTGGCGACGTACGACACTCACGACGGCGGCGGTCGGAGGCGGAGAAGTACGGCACTCTCTACGGCGGAGAAACGACTTCTGCTCTCTGTTTTGCGCTGAAAAGACGACCTCCTATAGTTTTGTGAGGAATTAGCTAGTTTTTGCCGTGTTTTGGCAACAAATTTTGTTTTGAGAGGGAATTATTTACAAAGATAGAAATTTTTTTATTTAAGGGGGAGGGAGATTTTTTGCATATATATATTTTTTGGAATGCATATGGTGAAATTTTGCGTGGGATATATATACATTAATTATTACCTAAGGAAAATAGAAATTTATGCATAGTGCATATATAAATTACGCGGAATTTATAAAACTAATCAAATGTTAATGTTAATAATAATAAGAAGAATTTTAAAGTCAAAATTATAAATTAGGTATTAGGGCAATAATTAATCTATATATATATATATATATATATATATATATATATATATGTATATATATATATATATATATATATATATATATATATATATATATATATATATATATATATATATATATTAAAACAAATCCATTCCGTGCATCGCACGGGTGCAAATACTAGTTATTTACAAAGATGAATTTTTTTTATTTAAGGGGGAGGAAGATTTTTTGCAACTTGTGTAAATTTTGAAAGAGGGAAATTATGCTAGCGCTACTAATACAAAGATCCAAATACAAAGATCACGATCCAATAAATGGGCTACAGCTAATTATGATAGCGCTACTAATAGGAATCAAACCCCAAGTGACTAGGTTGAGGCCGGGTATAGACTAGAGACCACTAGACTAGGGTGTCTGTAGGCCGGGTATATTCATGGTTTTATAGGGACCAGGTCCACCATAAATCGGACGATATAGATATAGAACAGGGTAATAAAATATTAGCTTTATTACCCGGGTCGCTAGACCCAAAATAGTATCGGGTATATAGATACAGAACGCGAGATTCATAGATTTTTATACTGTAGATTCATAAATCCTATATTGTAGATTTATAAAATCTTTGGTGAATAATTTTATATTTAAATATGAACGAAAATAGAACTATTAAATTAACTTTTGAATTGTATTATTTCTTTGTTAAATTTTTATGCACTATATTTGGACAAAAAAATTTAATTACATTTTTATTTTTGTTCTAGATTTTCTAAACATCTATTTTCATCTCGTAACAAAACAATGAAGGTCCAAATTATAGGTAAAAGATAAGGTGTAACACTTTAATAAAAAAGAGTTGGTATGGCTTGGTAGGTTTAGCTTTATTTGTTATGTTAGAAGTCACGAGTTCTATCCTTCCTAGTGGCATCTTTAACCTATATTTTATACAATCATTGTCTTGGTTCTCAGAGACAACACAGAACCAAACTCGTTATATATTGGATGTTGCGCTTAAGTACATACGTGTTGGTGTGACTTGGTGGGTTTAGCTTAGTTTGTGATGTTAGAAATCTTGAGTTTTATTTTTCTTAGAGGCATTTTTAACCTATTTTATAAAATTATTGTCTTGGTTTTCACAGACAACACAGAAACAACCCAGTTATATACCAGATCCTGCACTTTGGTACATAAAAGTTTGTGTTGCTTAGTTGGTTAAACTTTAATTGTTACGTTTGAGGTCATAGGTTCAACTCTTGTTGTTAACATCATTGTTTATATTTTATACAACTGTTGTCTTTTATAAAATAATGATGCGCAAAGACAACGGTTTTTTATAACTGTTGTCTTTGTAGTGTTGCGTATTCAAATACGCTTAAAGATAACATACCAAAGACAACGGTTAAATAAAACCATTGTCTTAAACAAATAAAGAACGCGCAACGACAACGGTTATATAAAACCGTTGTCGTTGTAGTGTTGTGTATTCAACTGCTATTAAAGACAACACATAAATGACAACGGTTAAATAAAACCGTTGTCTTTTATAAAATAATAATGCACAAAGACAACGGTTTTAAAAAACCGTTGTCTTTGTAGTGTTGTGTATTCTAGTGCGCTTAAAGACAACACACCAATGACAACGGTTAAATAAAACCGTTGTCTTTTTTAAAAAAAGAGCGCACAAAGACAACGGTTTTAAACAACCGTTGTCTTTCTAGTGTTGTGTATTCTAGTGCGCTTAAAGACAACAAACTAACGACAACGGTTAAAAAAACCGTTGTCTTTTAAAAAAAAAACGCACATAGACAACGGTTTTAAAAAATCGTTGTCGTTGTGGTGTTGTCTTATCACAAAATGCACAAAGACAACACACTTATAACAACGGTTAAGTAAAAACCGTTGTCTTTGACAAAAGTGTTGCATCAAAGACAACGGTTTTGGACCAAACTGTTGTCTTTTATACAAAAGACAACACTTTTCTTAAAATCTGTTGTCTTTCTAGTGTTGTCTATGTGCATTTTTCTTGTAGTGACATTTTGGTATTTTTACTTGTTAATCATTATATTATTGAGCCAATTTGGTAACTTATGGAATGATTGTTTGTGCTTAGGTGACTTGACAAGAAAATGGTGTTTTGAGCCAAACATTGAGTTATTTGATCAAGATTTCAAGTCATCATAGCATGATGATATTTTTGTGAGGCAAAATGAAGAAAAGAAGATTGAACAACACTCTTCCATGTGCCAAATATTTGTGCCTTAGTGGTCTTGATGATATAGGCAATTCAAAGCAAAGGCAAAGCAAAAGATAGTAAGGTGGCATATCTCGCCCAGATTGGCGCAGTCTCCGTATTTTGACCATATCTCGGTCTAGGAGTGTCCAAATCAAGTGATTTTTATATCATTGGAAAGCTAACTTCAAGGGATACAACTTTGATGAAGACCAGAAAGGCTAATTCAAACGTTTCGAGGGTGAAAATATGCCTAGAAGATGGACTCAGTGCACAAGCAGTGCACACTGCCTGTGGCCACGGGTGTGGCCACGGCCGTGGCCACACCCGTGGCCACTGGGCAGTGTGCCCTGCATTTCTGGCCACGGGTGAAGCCACACCCGTGGCCAGCCTCTGCAACTCAAACCAGACCCGTTTTTACCCTTTAAATTGGATTTTTTCACCCCAAAAACATACTTTTCATTTCTCTTTCACTCCATAGCTAGGGTTAACTTTAGAATAGCTTAGATAGGTGTAGATTGGTTGTTTCTTTCCATTTCCAAGCTCAAGAACATTGCAAATCTTAGATTCCAAGGCTTCAATAGAGAAGTGTTCTTTTTATCTCTTCTCTTTACTTTTCATCTATGCTTTCAATTACTCTTTCAATATTGTGTTTCTATTGTTATATTATGAGTAGCTAAGTGTTTTGGGACTAGGATTTAGTTTGATTTCTTGCTATTGATGCCTATTTGAGTTGTATTGCATAAAGGGGATTATTTGGGTGATCTAGGGTTGTTGTGTGAAATGGGTTTGTTGAGAAATTTGTGTATGATTGTTGGATCCCAATTATATGCTTGATTTGGAGTGTGTTTGTTGCTACGAGAATAGAGCTTGTACACTAGCCACACATTCACACACTTAATGCCCAATACGAGAGTATTTCGGGTGTTAAGGAGAATTTTTGCCTTGTGTTCTTGTTTGGGCATCCTTGGGTTGAATTACCACGAGAGTGGAGTTTAATATGAGGTTGCAAGTCCAAATAGCTACGAGAGTGGTATTTGGACACTTTTGTGCATCTCACTTACCCTATGCCTTGTTTAATTCCCTAATCTTAGTGTAATATTTGGCATCTTCGCTTGAATCAACCAAATCCTGGTCCTCTGTTTTGCTTGTCTTATTTGTTATTAGCCTAATCATATCAAACCAACTCCTTACCAATAGGTCTAGCTTCTAAAAGAATAGTTCTAGCTTGTGTTTAGCTTCACTTTGCATCAATTCCTAACATTACAAGAGTCATCTCCAGTGGAACGATATCTAAACTCTATACTGTAATTTGATACTTGATGGATGTGTGAAAAATGTCCTCATCAACGGGAAAACTCAACCTAGGTTGTCCATAACTGACCGACAGGAACACTCACAGTCACTACCCAATTAAAAATATGCTATGGGCGGAATTCGTCTTGTTATCCTAGCCCGCAAATAACCAACCTATGTTGCTATAGTTGACTAATTCAAATCAATAATACCAATAGACAGCTTCAACTAATTAAGACTTCAACTTAAAACTCTGTGATTACTAAGTCAGCTTTTCAATAAGTTTGTCTAGTGAATTATAACTCTATCAAGTTATGTTTCGGGTTCGAATCCCCTAGGCTACACCCGGCTTACTCTAAGGTTTTCCATCAAATTAAAAAAAAAAAAAGTTATATTACACTTCCCTAATCTTTGCTATCTTCACATCATTTTCATAGGCTCACCTTTGGATTTTACTACCTTTCTTGCTTTTTTAAAAAAAAAAAAAATAATAATAATAATAAATTAAGATAAAGATGTGAAGCATAAATTTTGTGAAAAAAACAAATTCACGTCCATTTCCAAGAAAAAAGAGAGTCAATAATCAGATTCATAAAGATGCCTCTATGAAGTAAAACCATCAACAAAAGTTTCGGAGATAACAATGTTGATCGTTGATTATTTTAAAGGCATGCATGGGAAGTTTTGCATTTGTCTTTTTCAATTTTTTAAATTTCAAGATTTTAAAAATAGATATAAAGTTCAATGTGATTTGAGCATTTAGCTTAAACATTTTTATCATTCAATGATAGAAAGTTCGACCCCACTAGCATTAACAATTAACACTTTTCCATAATTTGTATAGATGTAATTAGTTATAATCTATTTATAATTTTATTCTTTTTTTTAACTCTGAGTTGTTAAATTAACACAATTTTTTGAGTACAAAGAGTAGTTACTTTCTCAACCTATTGAAATACAAAGAGTCAATATCGCTCCCACTGGGATTCAAACCCATGATCTCCCATTTGAAAGAATCACTTCATGCTAGCTATTAGATCACAAGGTCATTGGCAATTAACACAATTAAATAAATAAATAAATAAATAAATAAATAAATAAATAAATAAATAAATATATATATATATATATATATATATATATATATATATATATATATATATATATATATATATATATATATATATATATATATATATATATATATATATATCCATGTGTGTGTGAATAGCTTCCCGTGCGGTTGGACGCACATTAAGCATTAAGCTGACGCACTTTAAGTACACAACACACGCACATTAAGCACACAAACAAAACACCTTAAGAACACAAATCACGCACCTTAAAAACACCAACCACGCACATTAAGCACATAACAAAGCACCTTAAGAACACAAATTAAATCACGCACTTAAGATTTTAAAAATGGTTCACTTTAAGTTTCACATAAGTGAAGCAACTTAAGTATACAAATCACGCACCTTAAGATAAAAACAACGCACATTAAGAAGGAAACTCACGCACCTAAGTTTCAACAACTACTCACATTAATCATAAACTCATGCACCTTAAGCACAAAACTCACGCACCTTAAGTACAAAACCCAAGCACCATAAGCATAAAACTCACGCACCTTAAATTTCAACAATTACTACCATTAAGTACACAATCCCACGCACCTTAAGTACAAATCTCACGCACCTTAAGCACAGACTCATGCACCTTAAATACAAAACTCACGCATTATGTACAAACAATAAGCATTATATATATATATATATATATATATATATATATATATATATATATATATATAATGCTTATTGTTTGTACAATTTTAAATTTTTTTCAATTTTACATTTATTGGTTATTTCTATTATTCTTTTCTTTTTATATTTTTATATTCTTTCTTATTAGACATTTATTCGAATACTAGTTTTTTACGCGCATTGCGCGATTGGGATAATACCCAATGTTTTTTTTTTAAATAAGTATTTTACAGTATATCAAGGCAAGATTATATTGGAATTGTTCATGCATAGATAATTGAATGTCGAATTTACGTATTTAAATTGGTAATTCTAAGTTTACAAATGCAAGATAATATAGTCAAGATTGATTATAATGGTCAATAAAATAATTGTATGTGTATGGTTGAAACCAAATACGGGATATAAGGGAGAGCAAATAAAAATTAAAGCATAAAATATTAAATATATACTAATATTGTTTGAGGAGATTCCGATAGTAGGAGGCTAGGAGCGTTATGCTGTGAGCACGCGCCCACCTTACAAGGTGAGCACGGTTCCATATCCATAATTTCTATACTGTAAATTCATAATTTCTATACAGTAGATCCATAATTTCTATACTTTAGATTCATAATTTCTAAACCGTAGATTCATAATTTAAATACAATAGATTCATAATTTCTATACAGTAGATTCATAATTTCTATACTGTAGATTCATAATTTCTGTACTGTAAATTCATACTCCGTAATTTCTAAACTGTATAGTTATCAATTATGAACATGTAGATCTGTGATTTGTGAAAACAGAGTTCAACAATTGGAATTTAAAGTATAAATTTTATGAATCTACAGTATAGAAATTATAAATCTACAGTATAGAAATTATGGATATGGAATCGTTCCCACCTTGCAAGGTGGGCACGTGCTCACGACATAATTTGCCGGATTTGTGGTTATAGTTTTATTAAGACCTTAATATTAAAATTAGATTAATGTTGTAGTTTAATTCTATATTAGACTTTAATATTAGAATTAGACTAACGGTGAATTAACGGTACTTAATGGAAAAATTAACGGATCGAATAATCATATAATTAAGGATAAATTAGGAAATCTTAAGGAAAAACAAAAAATCTGAACAATCTGAACTATTCATTTGATTTAATAATTTTACGGTCATTTTTTCTACCCAATGTTTATAATTAAATAAATATTTGAAAGTATATTAATGCAAGATTATATATGAGAAGTTCAACATAAGTAATTTAATGTCTAATTTATTTATTTAAATATGTAATTCATAGTATATGAATACAATGTAATATAGGAGATTCATTATAATTATTACTAAACTTTTTTTAAATAGTAACCAAGTATTTTTGTTGCAAAGGGTTCTAATATTTTTAATGAATGCGCATATATACAAGATCAATGAATGACTCAACGGTACCAGTCCTTTAGGTTTTTTGCTCAGTGTTCATTTTTTTTTTTTAAGGTAACCAATGTGGTTATATTTAGATAAATACTGAAATAGAGTCTGGTGGGATGGTATCCCAGTACATAGTCATAGACTGATCAAAAGCAGTAGAAGCTAAGGTATGAGCTAATAAGTTCTGCGATCTAGGAACAAGAATAAAATAGCATGCATCAAACACCAACATTAGCATTCTGCAATCATTAATGGCATAACCAGCGTAGGATCGGAGTGTAACGTCTGACAAGGAGAGATAGCGTTGTAGCATATGACAATCCGTGTAAAGCTGGACTGAGCGTTCCCCACGAGCCCGTAGCCACGATAGAGTTTCTTTGGCCGCCAGTGACTCGGCCATGAAAGGAGAAAAACAGTTCGGCAAGTGGGCATTGAAGGCCTAGACGTAGCTGCCGTCCGTGTCTAATAGGACTTCTCCAACAGTTGCCGTGATTGTGGCATGGCGGTATCCGGCATCGAAGAAGCATGTTCGGT